AGCGTCATGTCGGGCGGAGACATCGGCTCGTGCCTCCCCCTCCCCTCGTGCCCGCGCCTCGACTCGGACGTGTCTCGGACGTGTCTCGGACGTGTCTCTCCCGCCGTCTGTAGGCTCGAACCTCACCTCGCAGAACCTGTACGGAGTGCTCACCCTCATGGCCCTCCTCGGCTGCCTCCCCGTCGCCGCGCTCGTCGAGGGGCCTCGCATCGCCGCGGGCACTCGCCTCGCCCAAGCCTCTCGCCCACACCTCACCCACACCTCCACCTCTCGCCCACACCTCACCCACACCTCTCACCTCTTGCCCACACACCTCTCGCCCTCACCTCACCCACACCTCCACCTCTCGCCCACACCTCACCCACACCTCGCCCACACCTCACCCTCACCGTCTTGCCGCCAGGCACCGCCGCGACCGTCGAAAAGATGGGCCGCCGCACGTTCGCACGCCAGCTGCTGCTCCTCGGCACGTCGCACTACTTTCGCTACTGCACAACTTCACTTACTTACTTACTTACCCCCACCCTGCTCCTGCTCCTGCTCCCCTACTACTACTACTGCTACTGCTACTGCTGCTGCTGCTGCTGCTGCTGCTGCTACTCCCATATTCCTGCTGTGATCAGGCACGTCGCACTACTTTTACAATGAGTGCGCCTTCCTCGCCCTCTCGTCGGCAAGCCCTACGCCGTCGCCCGCACCTCGGCGAGATCTCGGCGAGACCTCGGCGAGATCTCGGCGAGATCTCGCCATGTAGGTTCACCCGGTGACGCACGCCGTCGCCAACACCGTCAAGCGCGTGCCGAGATACCGCCGAGATACCGCCGAGATACCGCCGAGATACCGCCGAGATACCGCCGAGATTCGAGCCAACATACCGTCACAAACGCGTCTTCCGCTGCCCTCTGCCTCCCCTCCTCTCCTCCCCTCTGCCTCCCCTCCCCTCTGCCTCTCGGCAGGGCACTCCGTGCACTCACGCAGCGATTCACTCCCCATCGGTTCGACTCCCATAGGCGCGTCGCCGTCATCCTCATCTCCCTCGTCGTCTTCCGCAACCCGCTCACTCCTGCCGGCGCGCTCGGATCCGCCGTCGCCATCGGCGGCGTCTTCCTCTACTCCCTCGCAAAGGCGCGCTGCTGACGGCGGAAAGGGCGGCCGCCGTTCTCTCTGCGCGGGCAGGGCCGCGAGGCCGCCTCGCCTCTTGCTTGCGCCTTTCAAGTCCAGCTTGCCTCGAGGCGCGTCAAGCTCCAGAGCGAAGCTCCGGCTCCGGCTCCGCCACTATGTCAAAACCCCACTGAGAAATTATAAATTTCTCTAGAGCTGGTGCCGCCACTAGATGAAATGCTCCACTGGGCCCCCGGAACGCGCCTGCGCGGCGGCGAGCAGTGAAGAGGCGCGGAAAGCTGATTTTTTTACTTTTGGACGCATTTCGGGCTCCGTACTGGTTGACGCAGAGCCGCACGCGTCGACCGGCGCCGTTCGCGACCACGAGGGCGGATGCTGGCCATCCCGGGCTCTGTGCACATCGGCAGCGCGCGTTCTACGCGCTCCGCTATCCAGATCTTGGCGCCCCACCTCGAGAGCGCCGTTTTTATCTCGTGCAATCTCGAGCCGTGGAGATTAGGCCGAGATCGCTTTGAGCTGCGGGAGATGTTTGGGAGATACAGCTACAGTCACACGGACCCGCGGGGCGTGCGCAGCTCGCGACGGAGATGTTTACAGAGCCCGGGCTCGCTGCGAAGCGGTGAGCGGCGCCCGAACGGCACCGGGCCGCGTGCCGCTCTCTGCAGCTCCGACGCGGCCGGGCGGCTGCCAGAGCCGCACGCGCCGACCGGCGCTGTTCGCGACCACGAGGGCGGATGCTGGCCATCCCGGGCTCTGTGCACATCAGCAGCGCGCGTTCTACGCGCTCCCCTATCCAGATTCCGGCGAACCACCTCGAAAGCGCCGTTTTTATCTCGTGCAATCTCGAGCCGTGGAGATTAGGGGAGATCGCTTTG